AGACCATATTTCTGGACGAAATTCTGCATCTAATTCTAAAGGCTTCACTCACTTTTTCTTGCCTCTGTTGCTGAAGCCGAAGGCGGGACAGCGCAGATTAAATATTTGAGACATTATCGGTGTGTGCACGTCCAGGTCAGCGGAGCTCACTCAGACTGTCAGTCCGAGGTGGTATAAACTTTTCCGGGCCTCTTAGTTGAGTTACTTGTTGATACTCGTCCACTGCTGCCAAAAATGTGAGCCGTCTGAACCAGGATCAGCAGACGTGTAAACTGTTAGTACTCGTATCCCTCTGCCTCGCTGTCTGCAGCCCCACGTTCTCTCTCTCTGTCTCTTACCGTGAGTCTGCGTCTGCATTGGACCAGAAGGCTGGAGCTCATCTTAAAACACAGGCACACACACACACACACACACACACACACACACACACCCTCAGATCTGGATTAATGAACACTGGGCCGGTGTTCGTGTCCCGGGCTCCAGCATTGATTGATGCGTTAACATGGCGGTCCTGCCAGTGGAAGTGACAGATACATTTCTCAAGCTTCATCCATCGGACCGCCGACAAAACCAAAAATCCCAGTGCCGTGTCTCCACCGCATCATCTCCCGCCGTCTACCACCTGATTGGCTGTTACCCTCACATCCCTAGCACCGGCCTTGTACCAGGCCTGTCATTGGCTACATCAAGGCAGACATGACACCTTGTGACATGGCTCTGCGTGGGTCTTAATATTCAAAGGTAAACAGAAAGGGGATCCCCCCCCACCCCTCTCTGGAAGGAAGGAGTCTTTTATTGGACAGCGCTCATGGCGTGGAAACAGATGGTGTTGCTGTGGTGAGGTTGTATCGCTGAGTTTCAATGGGTGTGTGTAAGTCTGGCACCTGGAGAGATAATACAGATTCTAAATTTAGATTTGCTTAATTATCGAGAAGCTCAAACTGCTATTTTTTTTTCCTACTTCTTCAAAGCAAACAGCGCTTCGACTAAGTATTGAATAACTGCAAACTTCGACATTTAGAATATATTGTCAGCAATTGCTTCTTCTGTAACCTTGATTCAGCTGCTACAATATGCAAATAGTAGTGAAGAGCTGCCTTAATGGGTTTTGGTTTCAGGCCTCAAGGCACTGAAACCTAGAATACTGACTTTAACATGCTGAAATAGATTTTCTGCCTTGTGTTTGCAGCAGTGAAGGTGCCAATGATTTACACAGAGAAGGAAAAATAACTCGTCTCGTCCTCGGGCTAAGTGCCACATTTAGCCGACACTATTCTGTTCGAGAAAAAACATGTTTTTTGGAAAAGAACGGGACCTCGGGATGACGGTCGCTCACCTGCCAAAGCGCCTGGTTTGACGAACACGTAAACGCTTCCTCAATACCTGGAGTCAAAGAGGAACACTGCTGATTTTACACATGGAGGCTGACAGACAGAAAAAGATATTATTGGATGCATTATGGGAAATACAAGATGCAGGATTTTTTGGAGCTGACCCATACAACAGACTAAAAGTCTGAATATCAGCCGCCTCCATTGATGACTGCGTTTCTAAATCTTCATCTTCATTAAGCGTTGTCCCAAATGTAGAGAGGAGACGATGTCACCCTCAATCGTGCGAGACTTGCTGAAACAGTTCCTAGGCCCATGTGATATGAAGTGATAAGTAACTTATTACACTGTAGAGGAATAAAGGCAAAATGTGAGACCTTCCTTACTGAACTTTCTCCAGAGTTTATTACAACAACTAAAGGAGGCAATAATTCACGTGTAACTGACAGAAGAATCTGTATAAACTGCATCAGGGTGGAGGGAGACGCGACACCCCCAGGCCTGTGAAGTGACCGGTAGATATAATGGGTGAAAACAGTGTTGAGGCGGTGTTGACTGACAGGCCAGAGGCAGCGTTCAATAGGTGATTATCACAGGACACACACACTCTGACACTGTCTTAATGAGAATCCAGAATAGCCCCTTGCACGCTCTCTGATTGTTTGGCCAACGCATGTGCCCTTTCCCCAAAGCCTCATCAAAGCCTAATCAGAGCGTCAGACTCAGCAGCTACAACAGCAGCAGCAGCAGCAGCAGCAGCAGCTGCAGCAGCAGCAGCTACAACAGCAGCAGCAGCAGCAGCAGCAGCAGCTGCAGCAGCAGCAGCTACAACAGCAGCAGCAGCAGCTGTAGCAGCAGCAGCTACAACAGCAGCAGCAGCAGCTACAGCAGCAGCAGCAGCTGTAGCAGCAGCAACTGTAGCAGCTGCAGCAGCTACAACAGCAGCAGCAGCAGCTGTAGCAGCTGCAGCAGCTACAGCAGCAGCTGCAGCAGCTGTAGCAGCAGCAGCAGCAGCTGTAGCAGCAGCAGCAGCAGCTGTAGCAGCAGCAGCAGCAGCAGCTACAGCAGCTACAGCAGCAGCTGCAGCAGCTGTAGCAGCTGTAGCAGCAGCAGCAGCAGCAGCTACAGCAGCAGCTGCAGCAGCTGTAGCAGCAGCAGCAGCAGCTACA